GCAGGAAAGTTCATACAGAACAGAATCTTTAAAAATTAGAAATAGTTCCAACTTAGCAAAAAGAGGAGACTTCAGAAGATGCTGGTAAAAGCTCATTCAGAAGTGTGGCCTCACCTGGCCGTCTGTGACTCTCAAGAGCCTGTATAAATATATATATAAAAGACCTGTATTACCAGAATCATTGAGGGAAGATAAACCCTATAAAGATTTTCTGAGCAGTTGTGTGATAACCTAGCTGCTGCTGACTTTCTCCTCTCCCTCATGTACTCGTGCATGTCACGATTCTTACAGCACTAGAGAGCAAGGCCTTTGCAGCAGGAACTTACCTTTTGCAAGTTTTCCCTGAAACAGAGTTCTGCTAGAAAACAGATCGAAAAACTGGACATGAAGTCATATATGCATTCTAATATATTTTGTAACATACTACAGCTGAACTTCACAGCTTTCTTGCATAAGGAGTGAGCCAACAGAATATGTAAAGGTATTAGTCTCCATTATTACGAGTTTTACACTATCTCATGTAAATAAGTCAGTTTGCATTCAATAAATGAAGTTCCCTTAGAGCCATTCATGAGTACCAGCTTTTTGAAATCTCCCTCACTGCCTTGTCCTCTTGATGTTCATTTTCATTTCCCCAAATGATGCAGAACATTACTGTCCTCTCTGGAGCCACAGTAACTGTTAATCTTTGATGTAGCCTGGCATTTAACTGGGTGATTCACAGAATCACAGAATATTAGGAGCTGGAAGGGACCTTGAAAGCTCATCCAGTCCAACCCCTGCCAGAGCAGGATCACTTAGACTAGGTTGCACAAGGACGCGTCCAGGCAGGTTTTGAATGTGTCCAGAGAAGGAGACTCCACAGCCTCTCTGGGCAGCCTGATCAGGGCTCTGGCACCCTCACAGTAAAGAAGTTTTTTCTCATGTTCAGGTTGAACCTCCTATGCTCCAGCTTGCTCCCATTGCCCCTTGTCCTGTCGTTTGCTATCACTGAGAAAAGCCTGGCTCCTTCCCCCTGACACTCGCCCTTTCCAAATTGATCCCCATGGATGAGGTCACCCCTCAGTCTCCTCTGCTCCAAGCTACAGAGACCCAGCTCCCTCAGCCGCTCCTCATCAGGAGATGCTCCACTCCCTCCATCATCTTTGTGGCTCTGCACTGGACTCTTTCAAGCAATTCCCTGTCCTTCTCAAACTCAGGGGCCCAGAACTGGACACAATATTCCAAATGCCTCAACAGGGAGGAGATATTTAACAAATGACTGTGTACAGCTGTGTAGAGAGGAAGGAAATCATATTTTACCTATACTAAGTCATTCAAATTTTTCAGAGGTGTTTAAAGAAGCATGAAAGCAGGTACCTGCTGCAGAATTTCCTTAAGATTCTGGAAGGACTAATTACATTGAAAATTTGGAAGACAATAAAATCATTTTAGCCTGCTGCATTTAAAAAAAAATATTCCATTAAAATATTTTGTTGTATGTGTGGGGAATATAAAAATCTTAAATAATGATGTTTAGCTTGTTCTATGGACAGTTGATTGTTCCAATGCATGAAACCTTTGTATACAGTTAAAACTATTACTATTCAAGTATGATGACTGCTGGATTATTTTTCTCTCTGCCTTCCTGTTTTGTCTCTCTAGAACATCCAGTATGTATTTTGTACATATGTACCCTTGAACATGTGTACCTTTGAGACGAAGGAAGTGTACTTTGTGTTTGCTCCATATTCGTGATGATAATGATGTCAGGGCAAATTAACCTCTCTTTAGAATGAGGGAAATTAGCAATCCTTAACTCGGTTAATCCTTCTGCATAAAGGCAAATGACTGTCAACTCAAAACCACCTAAAAGATCTAAATATCTAAAAATACCTAGAAGCTAGATTTGTTTACTAAGTACACTAAAATGTGTAAATCCCAAATCTCTTTAAAAAGGCTTTCAAGTTTACTTTTTGGTATGAAGCATCCATCCCCAGCCCCTTTCTTCTTACTCAGTCTGCCAGGAAGCTGTGTGGGAAGCCTTTCGTATTTTTTTGGATCGGATTCCTGATACTTCTGAATATCAGAACTGGGTTACTGCCTGCCAGAGGGAAACCTTCTGCATATTTGACATTGGCAAAAACTTCAGCAATTCCCAGGAGCACCTGGAAATAATCCAACGGGTAAGGATTATTGTCATTTGTTTAGAAACCGGGGGGAGACTTCTAAGTGCCTCTCTATCTGCTTAAATAAGGGCAAAGCATTGCTCAGGAAGAGGAGGGGGCATGTGTTAGCAGGAAAACATAAAAGTACAGTAAACGAAAGAGCTAACAGGCTTCTGTTCAATGGTTGGATACACCCACTAGTAAAATGCTGTTTTTCTTAATCTTTTCGCAGCGAGTAAAACATAGAACCTTCCAGGAAAGGTAAGTAGCACAAGTAGAACCTTGCCACTTGATGTTACTGCCTTAATTTTCGAAAAAGACGTGTAGATGTGCGTGGATGTGAACAGATACACAGATAGTGCTGTGGTGTATTTGGTGTGTGCTGTGGGAGGTGTGTGTACTATCTGTATCATAATACATGGCTATTGAATCACAAATTAATTATTTGGTGGCCAAATGTCTGAGTTGAGACACCACAAAATGTCATCTGAGACTGATGTGAACATGAAACCCTGGCAGAGCCATGGCTCTGTGTTAGATTAGGGGTGATTGGGAGTGTGACAAAAGATTACTCACAACTGCTACAATTCTCAAAAGGAAAGTGAGAAAGCTGAACAAAAGTTTGTCTGGGAGGCTACATTAAGCATTAATATGAAAACTGTGTGCCTTCACTGTAGCATTCCCCTGTATTTTTACAGAATAGTGATAGTGTTAACTAATGTGATGCTTTATTCCATAAACTCTTTGAAAAATGTATGCTCCTGGCAATGCTCAGGAGTCTGAGATTGGCAGGATTAAAGTTACAGCACTAAACTCTGCCTCTCTGCATATAAATACTTTAGTATAGCCAGACAAATCATAGTCCACAGTTTCTCTGTATTATTTTATCTTCAAATATTCTTAGATTTTTCAGGTGTAACAAATAATCTTTTCCATTTGTAAGTTATACTATCTCATGATCACAGAGGTCTTAGGTATCTTTATTCATGATGACATGGGAGCTTTGAGTGTTCTTCTTTCTCAGAAGTGTATTTTCAATAATGTAAGGTCTAATTAAACTCTCTTGGATGTCCAAAGGGAGGTCTTTTTACTCAGTCTAAGGCAAAGAGCAGAAGCAAGGCAATAAGTGAACTGACTGATCTCAGAGTTGAGAGATCTCTTTGTGGACAGTACAGTTTTCCCTAGACACAATTCAGAAGGTGAAGTAAATTCTATTAAATAACTCATATTTTAGGAGGAAATACAGGCAGCTATGATTTGCATTGTTGAACTTCATCTTTACTACTGTGTGGTTTGGGAAATGTTTTGTATCTTCTGTAGATGCCATGTAAAGGCATCAGTCCCCAGTTAAAAACAAAACACATAATTATTTAACATTGTGGAAAGATTAGAGATAATACTTTAGCTCACACAAGATATCCAAAGGATGTGGTAAATAAGAAGTTGTTCATATTCTTTATTTATGTTATCAAGCATCTAGGTTGATCCTGTATAGAAATGCAGCCCAGCCATCTTTTCTGTCTATGCAACAAGCCTCATGTCTAGTTAACACCACACTACACATTGGCAGTGTCCTTGGTTCTTTCAGTCATATCAGCTACCACAAATACTCCACCTGTGTGCACTGCCGTAATAATAGCTATTTCTATCTTTCTATAGAAAATTTGAGGAATTCTGTCTTCATTTATTTCCATGACTGGGCTCTTATTTTATGCTGTGCTTTTTTCCACACTCTAATTAGAACCCAAAATAACTGAAATTCTTCACCCCCCAATTTCATGAAACAAAACTCTGAAAATGTCACTTAGAAAATTCTTATCTAAGATTCTAAAAGCTTTCAAAAGCTTAATAACCAAATTAATAAAATATTGGGTTTAGAGCAGAAATTATTCTATAGCCTAAACTGCAGGAATCTTTGACACATCTACTATAAAATGTACTTAGGTATACATATCACTTCTGCTTTTCAGGCAAGCTAACAGTCTGAGTTCAAAAATTTCTTCATCAGCACATGACTGTAAATCTTACAACAGAAAATATTACCATCAATACCAAAACAAATCCTATGATGCAAGGCAGAAAATCTGTACATCACATCTGCCATATTCTTACTTGAGTTTTCAGCTGTCTGCCATGGGGACCATAGTAGGCATTAACACATCTATATTACATCCAGATTCAAGCATAAACATTGCTACAATCCATAATAACCTTGATCCAGGGATCTGATTTGAAACTATCATTAGCTGGAAGCATCCTCATGATACTGAAATGCAGGCTGACAACTGAACCATAAGTCTACCCATCCTCTCCTCACACCAAACAATGAAATACCCGTGGAACTATGCAAAGTCCACTGGGTCTAAAATTAGAAGAAGCCTAAAGCCCTCACTGAACTATCTTGACAGGATGAGACGCAGCAAAGGAGACAACAATTGGTTTAGGTAACATACAAAAATCCTTGCTCCCATTTTAGTCAGTGGTTAACCATTCATAGACTTCAAAGAGAGAAAAAGCAGACCATGAGCACTGATTTATTATTTGTGACCCCATTCCTCTAATTGCTCAGAGAAAATCAGTCGTGAAACCTCATGAGCAGACTCCTGACAGGATTAGTAGTCCTTGGTGAAGGAATATTTCAAATCAGCATTTTTGTTCATTGTAAGAGGAAATACCATATTGAAGGAGAGGAAAGGAAATATATAAACTGCTGAACATAAAATATCATCTACTGTCCCATTGCCTGTTTGACCAGCTAATCAAATATTTCATTAGAAATAACTCCTCTCATTTAAAGTACATTTAATTGTAGGGGCCATTTCTACTTTTTTTTTAAACCTTTGCCATTGCCAGTACAGCATGTTGACCATTAAATCACTCCTTTCTATTTGATTGATAGGAAAGATGAAATATCCACAGAGAAAACAGGTGGCAAAAAGCTGGAAGACATTCCTTCCATTTCTACAGGTAAAATCAAATCTGCTTGCTGTTCGTCTGACCAGTAAATAAAATTGCTTAAAGTAGGAATTCATAGATCTGAGAAGGCTGTAATTTAATGAATGCAGTAGAAGCATAACAAGTTCAGTGAAGCACAATGAGAATGCTTTAGCAAAATTATCAATAAAAAGCATTTTTCAATTTCTTTAACGGTGTGTCTGCTACTCAGAAGTAGCATTCCAGGTTTGTTTCACAGTCTTTAAATGCATACATTTTCGTGGTTTCAGGAGAGTAGAGAGTAAAGCTGATTTTACTTCAGTTATGAAATAACATTTAGGGTGTCAGCTGCTGCATTTTGTCTTCCAAAATAAGCAAGTGGATGAAAATAAAGAATTGTTTTAGCCAGAAAGTCACAGCGATGTCAAGATATTAATTTAAGAAGATTATTCCAATGAGACCTACTGTTGTGTACTGCAGTTCTTTAAAATAATGTTAGAAATTTATGCAGTGATAAAAATCTGTAAATATGAGCGTTTTGGTTCAAGGAGGAAACATCCTGCACTCATATTTTTATGAGGGCCAAGTATGATGAAAACTTATTTACAAGTACTTCCAGCATGGAAATTTTGCCTCTAGCTGGAAAACTCTGTCAAAGCCTCTTGTTACTTTAAACTGAGCCCTAAAGAAAGGTGGGAATCATAGAAACAAAGATCTATCTTGGCAAAATCAAGCTGAGACATTTGGTGATACATAATGCAGTATGACAGGAAATGATCAAATATTAGTATTTAATTCACACAATTTCATTGATGCATAGTCAATGCTATTTTTGCCTTCAGTTACACACATGCAGTGCTACTGATGGTTTGACCTGGAAAGAAAGGTCGACTACTGCATAAAAAATAGCAGCTTTACCCATGGCATAAGTTATGACCACCTTTCACTGGCACAGGCTTGTGCTCAAACACACCCTCCATAAGGAAAGCTTAAGTGAGCTGATACCTGACCAACACAGAAAGGGGAAGATTTTTTTTATGTATGTCCAAACCTGTTCTTTTATGATTATACTTTAAATCCTCTCCAGGCTCCCCTGGCACATCCCTCTCTCCATATGCACCACTACCTAATGGCACGCTGCTCAACGAAATTGTTAACGACACAAGGACTCCTGTGAAGGTGAGAGCAGCCTATTCTCCTATCCTACTTCTTCATTCACTTCTTTTTGAGCTCAGCTAGCAGAAAAGAGGGAAAAGCCTTATAAACACATAAGGCTTATAAACCACAAGTGCTCCTCTCTGTTACTGCTAGTAGGACTGAAGGGGTTTATCAGCATCTGTTCTCTACTGGAATAGTGTGTGATGTTTCTTGCATATGTGGTAGAATGTATAAAAATACAGCAACCAGCTTCTAGGCAGTTGTTATTCTTTTAATGAGGGGTCTTTTGCCTATTTTGCATCATGTTTGCAACCTTGCTCTTCATGAAATAATATAAAAACGCACACATTCTGAGCTTTCCATAACACAGGGGATAGGACTGGAGCTTCTTGCCTTTTTCCTGCCAGACTGGCAAACGAGTATTCTCTGCTGATGTCTCCATGCAGCATGGCGCTGGGCGCTGCCCCATTCGCTGCAGGTTTACAGCAGCTACTGTGGGCCACAGGTTATGTCTGAGATGGGGTTGGGGTGAGATGAGGAGCTGCTGTTTTCCCTGTCCTGGCTGCTGGGCATGGGGTGACAGGGAAGTGGCCCTGCAGAACCTCCCTCTGGAGAGAGATCAAGACCCCACTAGGGCCTGAGGACCCTGGGTGGGCCCTGCCACCAAGGAGCCTCAGGCAGAAGGTAGCCTCTTGCATTTCCCCTCCACTTAGACATTTTTTTTCACTGTCTAAAAAAGTTTGCCTTTCTAGCTCCTCAAAAAGCCATTCTGGGGGTTTTTTTTGTTGTTTGTGCATACTGGCTGTAGGAAGAGGCTTGTGCCACCTCCTCCTCGCTTGGGTGAACTCAAGGTCTCGTCAATGCCGCCAAGAATTTGAGGGCAGAAATGCTGGCAAAACTCTCACCCATCATACTCCTGGCAAACAGCCACCATTTTCCATCCCGCCTCTTCAGGCTTCTCAGCTCCAGCTCAGGAGTTGCACTGGAGTGATCCCAGATAAATGCTACTTCTGCTGTCTGAAATGATTACATTGTCAGGATCTAAGAAAGCAAAATAATCTTAATATTTTCTACTGTGTATTACCTACTGGTATCATAGTTGTTGGATCAAAAGAGCAGATAGGATATGAGTGGAAAGTGGTTTTCAAATTGTTTATTTGAGAAGTTTGAGGTGTATCGGGACATTGACATTAACCAGTTCCTCCATGTTATAGGTCGTCTCATTCTTTCTTGGGCCTGTCCTTTGTGACCAGCTCCCTAAAGGCCGGCTTCTTAAAACTCATAAGGCACCTATATCGAAAGTTCAAGTTTCTTCATCTTCTGTTATATGACAGAACATTACAGAATGTTCTTTCTCTGACTCATGAGCCATATTTTTATATATAACACAAAACATACACTTCTCTATAAGAAGACTTGGTAACACTCTCTGTACAAGAAATGGCTTGATTCTCTTCATCACCTTCATGTATGTATATCGAAGGCAACTCTCAAGTCATTATAATAGAAACCTGTTTGCAAAAGCAGAAGTATTAAGACAACATTTGCCTTTTATAGGACATGGTTCAGAAAGGTCTTTTGGGATGGGGCTTAAAAGGGAATCCTTCTACTTATTAAATACTGAAATATGGGGGGAAAAAATCACCGCTTTATTTCTCCACTTTCTTTCTTCTCCTATTCTTTTCCAGGAGGTGGGAACAAATACAGTCCCAGAACTGCCCGTGGAGCAAATGGTAGAATTCAGTGTCACTCTCACGGATCAGGAGTACACAGCTGAACTTAGTGATCCCAACTCCCCACAGTACCAACAGCTAGCTGCCAAATTTCAGCTACAGGTAAGAATGCCGGGTGAATGCCAAAATGTTGGCTTTGTGTCTTGGCTGAGATTCATACTATGAATCTGCCTTCACCATGAAGCACAATTACAATCTACTGCCCTTATTTGAAATAGGTAATCCCTGTTGCTTCAAGACCTTCAGTTTTCCTCCATGTATAGTTAGCTTTTCCCCATCTGTTCAGCCACAAATCTAACTAGCCAATGTCTTTTTCAGCAATAGAGCTTCAGATAACTGATGAACAGAGTAACTTTAGGAATATCATTTGGGCTTAATCAGGAATTCATAGACATTACTTTGCCATAAGTTAATTTTACAATAGACCTAATGAGAAATATAATATAAATGTTAAAAGTAATCAGCTACTGTTGTCTGAATTATTCTTCAAAGGACTTCTTGTCATTTTGTTGTGCATTACCGCAGTTTCTGCAAGAAATGGAATGTCTATGGCATTTTCATATAATTAATAATATTAACTGAATGTTCAGCTATCAGTTCAATAGATAGCAGAGGTTCCCATAAGGTTTTTGTGGTAAAATTAACTATAATTTCTCATCAGTTTCTCAAGCACTCCTTAGTGCAAGCTATTTCACTGTCCTGGTTCAGTTTCAGATATGTATAGAAAAATGGTGAAAGAAATGTTGACAGAGCTGATAAAAAGCAGCTTCTCTGGAGATTTTCAGTATTATCCTCAAACAGAACTGCCCGCAGACTTCATTTACTACACATATAGCGATGTAATTCAACAATCAGATTTTGAAGTTATTTCATTAATTTCATTAATAAGAGGGTGAGAAATGCAGTTTCTTGATTGTTAAATTATTTTCCATCGTCATGAAATTTTATCTGTCCACTTTAAAGAGTCCCAGGCTGTTCTTGGCATGCAATGTTGAATAGAAAAAGATTTGCAGCCCAGTACCATGAAATACAACTGACATGCTTTCCTCCAAAGACGGGTCATGAAGGAGACAGAGTGCAATCTTGATACAAGACTGTTGTTTTACAAGTGCACTCAAAGGGTGAGAGTGAGGAGGTTGATTCAGAATTAAAGCCTTGTCCAGCTACATGAGCTCCTGTACAAATTCCAAAGAAACCCTTGCAAAGGCTGGGGCCATGGAGTTCCAAGCTCAACTTTGAATTCATTCCAGGACATAGGAAAAGGGAGAGTTACAGCTGACATTACAGTGCAAATGTTCAGAAGTACATCCGTGTATCACAACAGGCATTTAAAATCACATGAAAAATGTGATGAATTAGAAGGACCTGATTCCTCAAAAGGCTTAATTTCTTTTCAAGTGCTGAATTCCCTCAGTTCCACAAGCTTTGTTCACAGAAGAAAGGCCTAAATGATGTATTTCCTGGTATTTAACATGACCAGGAAGTGAATCAGAAACAAACTGTGGAACCGTGTGTTTAAAATAAAATTCTGTTTCCTCCAATATAGTAGATGAATATAAAATATTTCATTTGACTTATTTGTTTAAATGTTACTACGATTGTAAAAGACCAGAAGATCAATCTGCTGGATCTCAACTCCTTGTTAATTCTTGAGGTGCTGATAAAAATGCTTATTGTCCTAAAGTCTGAAAAATGTTTACAAAATTCACCTTTTCTGTTCATTGTTTATTCTCCATATTGGCTCTTCGATTCAAAACCGTGTAACTGTACAATTGTTTACATCACAGTTAAAAATAGATGAAGTTATTCTGTTTGTACAAGTCAGATAAAACTGTTTCTTTTATAAATGATTTATCAAACAATCTAAATAAATCTGCTTTTGGTTGATATTTCTAAATAATTAACAATTTACAGTCAAGGTAACGAATCATGAAATTATTCATGAACTAGAACTGCTGAAAATGAGAAAAACACTTGATTCATGTTGTTTACGTGCTCTTTTATGAATTAGATTATCACTGATTTATATAATTACTTTACTAAAAAAAGCTGTATTTTAAATTTTCTTTTTGCTATTAACAGGTATTACAGACAGCATATACCAACCAAGTACTGTGTTTAGGTTGAGCAATGATGATACCACAAAGAGGGCAGTTGAGACTCTTTCCTAAAGCTCTTCCTAAAATATGAAAAATATTGTCTAGGCAGTCAACCTGCGATTGTTTTTTAGTGGTAGAACTTACACTGAAGTAATGACTCTATGTTTTTCTATAGATGCAAAAAATATTTGAGAAACTTCCAGGATTCAAGGAAATCCGCGTGTTAGGATTTAAGTAAGTAAGAAAATCAGCTCTGTTTTCTATTGTCTACTAGGATTTTCCCCTTCCTTCTTTCCCACCAACATAAAGAGACCTGTATAATAGTGGTGTGTGGATTCCTGTAGAAAGAAAATAGTTTTCTGGAAACAACACAGAGACAATATGGAGAGAAGTGCAAACACATCCCAAATGACACAATGAGATTTTGAATTCCTTAGTAGAAGTAACTTTGGTTCCCTGAGGGGTGAAGCAATCAATAAATCCTTTAAAATTGTTTGCTAGCAATGTTGTATTAAGGACTTTCTTGAATGACAAGGTAGAGAGAGTTAGGAGTATGATTGTTTAGATGGGTACTTTTGTGTGTGTGGATCCTTTGCCCTTCCTAGATCACAGTGAAGGTGCTTGGCAAGGGAAGGTTGCAGCAGGATAGATATTCACAGATATAAAACTTTTCCAGTAGGTGTTTCCCAAGTGCTTCAATCAATTAAAAATGTTTCATTTTTTTAATAAATTTGTGTTCTGTCTTGCCATTTCTTTTAGGTTTAGATTCCTTCTATGTTTACTGCTAATACGAGCTACTGTGTAATGTTTTTCAGTTCTAAAATCTCCAGGGGAGGGTGGATAAAAAGCTGAGTATTTGATATTGTTATGCTTCTATAGATAAGAGCAGATTATGTAAAGAATCAAGGGAAAAACAAATTATTAATAGTAAGGAACAACACAAAATTGAAAGGGAATAAAGAGCAGGAAAGAAGACATGAATTCATGTGGGCTTATGGCACAGCATCAGGAACATTCTGTCCTTCTAATAATATCTAATACATGTTGAAGAACATTCATATTGCAGTGCAATTTTAGACAAGAGTAAAATTCTTCCTAGCTTTTCTTTCTGCAAAATTGTTGAGGAAAAGGAGAGAGAAGAGCAAAATAGAGTAAAAATTAGTTGCTTACATTTTTTTAATGAATGTAAAACAAACAGAACAAGCAGAGAAAATCTGCAGTAGGATCTCACAGTTACAACTTGCACTAACCTATTTCAGCTAAGACTCCAGGAGATCTGGGATCCAGTTCTGTTAGGAGCTGATACGAAAGTACATTTATCAATGTGGAAGACCAGGATTGCTTCCCATCATCTAGTAACAGCCACTAGGAGTTACACATCAGCGAAGATAAATGTTGCTGTCTGTTCTCCCTTAGCCATATTGCTAGGCCGCATTAGACATATGCCAGAGGATTAATCAGGGAAAATAACAGGGCATTATATTACAGAAGGTCAACATAGGCACGTCTTCCAGGGGTAACTAATAGGTCAAGTTACCTCTGTGACTAGTATGTGAGTAGGCACCGTATGTGATAACAATAATAGTTGCTACTACTGTCAGTCATATTTATTACTACCATAAAGATGTAGATTAGCAATGACAGTGCTCAAATTGTACTATTTGTAGTGGGAAATAGGAAAGCAAATATTTCAAACTATCAAGGTAAAGTAAAATTTCTGTTTCCCCACTCAAAACATGGAGATTCCCATTGTTTGGAAGAGAAAAAGGGAAATGATAGAGAGTAGGCTGACATTTTCACACAGCATTAAAAATTATAAAGGACACATAGAAGATAAGATAAATTGTCAAAAGATGTCTTTGATGTACAACTGATTGATTTACCGATATACATGAAACTTTGTTTTTCTTTCTTTCGCAAACCTTTATCATGCCCTTTCTTCTGTGATGAAATGAAGACAAAAGAAGGAGAAAGATGGGTAATTTGTCTGTAATTCATAATTAAGAGTAATTATTTTATAGACTATTAGATGCAGATATATCAGTAGATGTTCTTTATCTTGATGCAACAAAGTGAAATGATTTGTTTTCTGCCTAAGTACAAAATCTGTGATATAAAGCAACAGGGACAGCTTTTACCTTAATCTGAAAGGTTCATGTAATCAGATTTTGTTGGGATCTCTCTAAAGGAAAGAAAATTGTTTAAAAGTGCTGCTGGGGAATAATTTGTCTATCAGTTCTCATATTTTCTCTTTTACTCATAGTTTAAAAGGAAGACTTATCCAATGCTTTCCATAGCACATACTAGATAAAGTGAAATTCCTCTCACAGAATCACAGAATCACAGAATATTAGGAGTTGAAAGGGATCTTGAAAGCTCATCCAGTCCAACCCCCCTACCAGAGCAGAATCACCTAGACTAGGTGGCACAGGAATGCGTCCAGGCGGGTTTTGAATGTCTCCACAGAAGGAGACTCCACAACCTCTCTGGGCAGCCTGGTCAGGGCTCTGGTACCCTCACAGAAAAGAAGTTTTTTCTCATGTTCAGGTTGAACCTCCTATGCTCCAGCTTGTTCCCATTGCCCCTTGTCCTGGCATTGGACATCACAGAGCAGAGCCTGGCTCCTTCCTCCTGACACTCGCCCTTTCCAAATTGATCCCCATGAATGAGGGCACCCCTCAGTCTCCTCTGCTCCAAGCTAAAGTGACCCAGCTCCCTCAGCCGCTCCTCATAAGGGAGATGCTCCACTCCCTCCATCATCTCTGTGACTCTGCACTGGACTCTTTCAAGCAGTTCCTGTCCTTCCTGAACTGAGGGGCCCAGAACTGAACACAATATTGCAGATGTGGTCTCACCAGGGCAGAGTAGAGGGGAAGGAGAACCTCTCTCAACCTACTAACCACACCCCTTCTGGTACACCCCAGGATGCCATTGGCCTTCTTGGCCACAAGGGCACATTATTGGCTCATGGTCATCTGCTGGCCACCAACACCCCCAGGTCCTCTCTCTACAGTTATTTGATATTAGAAAAGGCAACATAATGTATTACAACGTACTCATTATTTTCCATTTTAATTAGGTGAATTTAGCATTTATGAAAAGTGATGTATTAACAGTTGTGAAAATTTTAGATGTCTGTTAAAGTAAATCTAGGGAGAAGCTATACACATTCATTTGGATTTGGAAAAGATGACTTTAAGTTAACAAAAGTTATTATTTGCTTGACACATTAGTTAACTTTCTTGTTGTTCTACAAAAATTATTAAATGCCCCAGACGTGATAGAATCTTTGCTTATTTGTAGTTTTATGATCTGTCTAATCCCTTTTCATAAATTCCTGTATAATGAATAGGTGGTTGTGGCTTCTAGTTACCTCAGCATGCATTTATGACAGTTTGAACCAATAATCAATGACTTCAAACTATATTACCAGTCCTAAGGGTCTTTGAGTAGTCACATTGAAATGGATTATGTTTGAGCATTTTTATAATTTTCTTCAATATTGGAATTTTTATTAAAAAGTATGGATAGAAGAAAAAAACATTTAGGTATAGCAAAAGTAATTTGAAGATGACAGTCTCTTTAGAAGGAAGTATATCTGCATTGTTTTTACAGAAGGTGGTATGTTATGGCTGCATAAATTTTTTTTTGTTTGTAAAGTCAGTCCTCAGCCAGTGACTGATTTTTACTGCACTGGGCATTTTTGCATCATCTCTTTGCAGATCAAGCAGCACTATAGCACGATACGTGGTAAACTTTGAAAGAGACGGCTCAGAAATCAAAGGCACACCAGATGACATCTCAACTATTGGATCTAACAAGGTTGAAAATGAAAAGATCCCACTTTCTCCAAAGGATGAGGGAGAGATTTCAGCAACCAGACTCACCATGACAGACCTTCAGCAACTGGTTGCCATTGCGCTCCACGAAGACCAGTCCCTGCCAATGGACCTGGGAACACTCCAGTTTACTGATGGTCAGTAGACACAAGTGTGAACCTTGACCTTTCAAACTGATGCAATTTCAGTAAGGTCTCCTTTTCTTCTCTCACAGATGGCTTTCATTTGATGTATCCCATTCTCCCAAGTGTCGCATAGCATCCAAAGGACGCACAGATCCAAGTTAAATTTTTTAGCAAAATAGGCCTTTGTAATTATACAGCTTAACTTCCAATCACATTGGAAGATCTATTTCATAGGTTTTTGTTTAGAAAAACTGGATATTTTGCACACTAAGAAAATAAGAGGAGGAAAAAAAAATAAAAAAAGAAAGACTGTGACTATTCACTATATCATTTTCATTTCCCAGTATGGACAGTCTTCTTTCTTCAGTAAGACAAAAAATGAAGGCTCCCTCTAACATCAATTTAGCTTTCTGAAAGCTAAATCTAGATTGTGAGCAAGCCACCTAACCTCCCAGTGAAGTCAGAGAGACAGATAACTTTAAGAACACTTGATCTCGAGCTAAAATTGATTATGTGAATTGCACTGCAAAGGTGCATTTTGCTTTCTGGAGCACAGAGGGAGTGCAGATGACAAGCTGGGTGTGAAGACCCCAGCAGAAGGTTGAAGGTCTGCATCCTGTTCATTAATCCAGCCAATAAATAACCCCTTGTAGTCCATCAGTTATTTATTTCAAAGCCCTCGTTTTGGGGAGGTGGGTTAAAAATGGAGAAAATGTTTTAAAATATTTTTTCACATGTATATTTACCAAACAGTTTTAAAACACACACCAAATTTTAGTGTTTCGTTTACAACAACAGCATTTCTTTTTTCCCAAAAAATTATTTAGATGAACTAATAATTTCTGTAAGAATTAAATCTCTCCTTTTAATGTAGATTAAAAGTTCCAGGGAAAAAAAATCATTTATATAGAACATTGTACTAATAACTATTTTAATCAACTTTTCCCCACTAGTTGTTTTTTATAGCCAGTTTTATAAAAACAGTTTGTATGCAAATATGTTTAAAAAGCTTCTCTGAGGGTATTCAGGGAGCAGCTGGGCACTAAAGCCAAAACTCTGAAAGCAGCAGTGCTGTGGACTCTGGGTAAAACTGAAGAGAATTTAGGCCAAATGAACAGCACAATATAATGACTCATCATAGCCCATGCGGATTTAGCTGAGTGGTTCCTAATTCAGCTGATTTTAAGCATTCATCCATGGTTCAGCTCTCTGCAGACCTATCCCATTTATACTAAATAAAGAATACAAAGAATACTGCATATAAAATTCCTGGTTTCCTCATAATAGTCAGTTTAAATGGAAATTTATGCCTCTTTCTTAACATAGCATTTTAAAAGTAATTTTTCGATGTAGAATAGTTTTAATATTTTTTTACCTAATTGAAGTGTTTTGATGAGTTTTCAGTGTGCCACTGCTGAAATATTGTGCTCTCTCTCTCTATTTTTTTGTTTGTTTTTCAGAAACTATTATACCACCTAGTGATTTTGATAATGATATCCAGGGCATGGTCACTATTCCTCTGGCAGGCCCTGATTTGGTAAGTTCATACTCGTTTTCATATTTATTTATTTCTCCATGAGAAATGAAAATAAGTAGTGTTAAGATGTACATAAATATACAGACTCTTACTCTAAAATCCATATCTACCTTTAATAAATGCTGTAAGGATGAATGTTGTGGTGTTATGCTGCAAGAGTTACTGTTTAAAGTGTTTACAGGTGACTATTACTGCTTGATTATCACATCCAGTTTTAATTACAAAGTAAACAATGTCTTACTAGTTCAGTAGCACATCTCAATGACAGAAGGAAAACAGCTGACAGAGATAGTGAAAGTCATCTTTCTTGGACCAATTTTAAAATTATAGGCAATGTGATCAGGATCACATGCACATGCCAAATATATTATATATCCTGTGATTTTGTGCTGAATTAGCAGTTTACAGGCTCCTGCGGCCATGAAAGTTAAATGCATTAATGAAAGTTAAACGCATTAATGAAAGTTTCTCTTAAAAAACCTTTTTAGGAGGAACTCCCACTAGGTTACCCCAGCCCAGCGCCAGTGGACCAAACAGGAGACATCTTGTTCAATGAATTTACAACTGAGATCCCTGTGCTAAGTGGAGACATCAGTGATCTTGAAGACTTTAATAATTTTGTGACATCTGAACCTGCGTTCCCTACCAAACCCTCCAGAACACCATTTCAGGACAAATCTCCTCCTTACACAGAAGTTACCACTACCGACCTCCAAAGTTTCACAGTGCCTTTCAGTGCTCTGGGTAGCACTAGCAGCCCTCCAAAACCAGAGGGTTCCTATTTGCCTCCTTCAGCAGACGATTCTGCTAGCAATGAGTTGGTCACCGATGGCTATGAGCCTCCAATGGAGCAGGCTACCACGCAGGCAGCTTATACCATAGGCAGCTTTGCCTCACCTGATCTTCTGCAAGCCGGAGATGAGGATACTGAAGCTGAGGAGAAGGAAGAACTGACTGATACAACAGAACCACCTTTCAAGGAAGCTGACCAAGACAGTCCGTTTGAGCAAGGTAAGACACAAGAGATTTTTCCATAGCAGAGGGTAGGAGAGATCCAGTAGTTATTACACACACAGTCACGTATAAGTATAGTAACCATTCCTTTCAGCTGTGACAGAATTTTTTCTGGATGTGAGAAGGTGAAAAAATTTTTCCCGCTTCAGGAAAATCCTAATGTACCTGACTTTAAGGTTGTCAAAGCAAAAAAAAAACCAACAAGGATATGACATGCTTTCTACAGTGTATTATGGTAAAAATTTAAAAAGGCAGAGCAAAAAGACAGGTCAGAGAAAAAAATAATTAAAGCCTAGGCTAATGTAAAAAAATCTGGTATTTAAAACATGGAAGGTAAATGACTTTGTGTTCTAGACACATCTGGGTGATAGCAGCAAGACCATTAAAAAATAATTTATTCCAAGCAAAGAAGACCATGGATCAGAAAAGTTTACATATCTACAGGTCTGATGAATGTGAAAACCTATTTTTAATTTCCAGGTTTTAATTGTTTGTTCAGTTTTATCCATACAGTACTGTTTTTTAGAGGCACCCAGATATTAGACACATCTGGGTGATAGCAGCAAGACCATCAAAAAATAATTTATTCCAAGCAAAGAGGACCATGGATCAGAAAAGTTTGCCTATCTATAGGTCTGATGAATGTGAAAACCTTTTTTTAATTTCCAGGTTTTATTTGTTTGTTCAGTTTTATCCATACAGTAAAAAACCGTAGTTTTTTAGAGGCACCCAGATAGATGAGGAAAGACACATAACAAATCAAAAAAGTGTATACATACGTATATCTGGGCGGAGAGAGGTCTGTATAATTTAGCCTTTAAAATGAAAAATACATGATATATATTTCCCACAGTAATCAGAAAAGTGTTGACTCTGGAGATGAATAAAGCTCAGACAAAGATAGCAGGGTTATCTTTAGGGCACAGGCAAATTAGACTTTCTCCCGGAACAGCAAAATGTCAGTAAGGTTTCTGTCTCCATCCCCGCCATCATGGGCTTGGAAAGCCATGCCGGGCACTGTGGCAAAATGTGGTGTTGGAGTAAATAGGTTGTGGTGGGCAGCAGCCTCCACTGGCAAAGCAGCGAGAGCACAGTTACCCTCCATCCGTCCCAGATTTTGTCTGCCCCAATCCTTCTCCCTGACCTGGCCTCACCAACTCAGCGTTAGCTCAGTACACATCCGTCCCAGATTTTGTCTGCCCCAATCCTCACCAACTCAGCGTTAGCTCAGTGCTCTTTAATTTTACTTACATTTCTAAGAAGCCTGTGCTAGCTGTGTCAGATGCAAGAGGTCACTTCAAACACGTAAGAGGAATTAATTCTTTGGTGAATATTCAGATGTGCTTTTGTCTCAGATTTTTGGCTGACCCTCTCAACAGAAAAGCAGAGGGCAGAGAAGAACCTCATAGGAAACAGCAGGATTCCCTGAAGTCTCCATGCACTCTCTAAGCAATATTTAAAAATCTGCAAAGAACAACAAACAAAAAAACAAAATCAGGAGCAAAATTCCCACATTAGCTTGCACAGCCACACTCAGTACTTTGGATCCTCAAGAATAACATTGTCAAAGCTTTTAAGTTTGCTCCCTGGTCCAGGGGAGTCCCCTGCTCACATAGGAGTCTCTACTCTCCCCCTGTTTTGCCAGCTCCCTCCTTGCAGAGTCTATGGTACTGTTCTCTCAGTATTTTAAAGAACAGAAAATGTAAAAGCTGCCACTTGGGATCATACACTAATCAGCTCCAGACAGGGAAGAGCATAGGATATTCTATGGTCATGTTGTTGCACTTGGTATTTTATGTGCTGAATAGGAACTTCTTGTTCTGTAGTCTTGCCTTTGCACACAGAGTTCTGAAGTGAGAGAAAGGCAAATACTTCATGATTAGCAGAGTGACTTAAAGATTAGAATATCACTTCTTATAAGAATCAATTATGAAGTGTTCCTGAAAATAAAGTTCATGAAGAAAAGTGTTAAACACAACTATTTTCAAATGCATGCTGAGAAGTCTTGTAGTGCTGCTGTTGAGAACACAGCATTCCTCCAAATAACAGTGCAGTATACCTCTAAATAACATTCATTATAACTGTGGAAAAGTGTTACATTTGCAGAAGGAAAAAAAAGTCCCATGCATTTTTCATTCTATTCACTCATTGGGTTAGGGTTTTGGTGTCATAAAACCCACATAAAACCACTTATCTGTTTTGCTGTAAAAAATAGCTGTAAAAAAACACTTCTTCAAAATAAGGCCCACTATCTTGTTGCTCCTTGTTGAACATGAGTTATGTCTAAAACAAACAGTAGAATATAAGAATTCCATCGTCATCTCTGCAACTGAGTAGAAGGAGAAAAATTCTCCTGCTAGTTCTCTGCCTAAAAAGAAGGGATGCCATGTTAGCAATGACACAAAGCTGTAGATATTATATTTGCTTAAAATCTTACCATACACAAAACAGACTGCACGCTTAACAGGAGACAGATGTTGAAAATCTGTTTACTGAGTTCTTAAAAGAGTAAATAGTGTATACTCTTTAAAACTTTTTCTCTTTTTATAGCTTTTTCCATTCTAGAATTCTTCTGCACAGCATTCCCGGTGTTCTTTTATTTCCCTAGATGCTGCATGTTTCATAGGAACTGATAGAATTTGATCTGGAAAGTCAGTGCTTAACAACATTTATGACATGTTTTATTAAAGTCAGCAGTGTCGGTGATATTAATTTTAATGTGGTAAGCAGAATTCCTCACTAGCTGGTACATAATTTTTCACACTTTGTGCCTGGTTCCATTTCATAGTTTCTTAGTAACTTAAATAAACAAACAAACAAGCAACAAAACTTTAAACTGTTGCTGGTATGAAATGGCAGGAATTACTTGATGCTGTGTAAGGTTGGATAAAGGGGTTAGAGTTTAAAAAATTGCCTGCAATTCTACTACATTAATTTCCAGCCGTTTCCCCACCCTGCAGTCCAGAAGATGGAGAAAATTTTCTTCATCACGTGTTCAGAACTTTGAATTCACTCTTCTTTACCACAAAAGGAAGAGCTGACTAGCAGAAATAATGTAGTTTGAGATTGGTTTTGGTGGACTTATCAGCTAGATATTTCACAGATGGACTTTATTGCATTGATTATCACGTGTGTAACTGCAGGATGAACATTACTACAGATTCCCAAACACCGAATGTCTACAACCTACACCAACAACTTTAATTGTGCCCACATAAGGTCAGTGAGCAAAGCAATTAAAAAAATTATTTTACAGCTCCCAGTAAGGTAATCAGGCTCAGCCTCGCACACACAAATACACACAAAGTTCTGCATACAAGATCTAGGGAAAGGAGAGTGAAAACACAGGTGAGAGACAAGGAGTCGAACTAACCAGAGGTGTCCTTCTAAGCCACACACTATATGTTTTCCCCCCTTTGGAGGTAATGCATCAATACCTCTTCTATATGGTTAAATTTCTTCTCCCTCTCTTTGCAGTCTTCCTGTGACTCTATCTGTCTAAAGCAGTATGACCATTCAGACAGGAAGCCACTTGTCTAATGTGTTAGATGGATTGCTATTTCAAAAACCAAGATAATTTCAGCAGTTAAATAAATGCAACCAAATGTATAAACAGATTAAAAAGTTCATGAAGTCTGTAACAACAATAATGATATACTTTTACTTCCAAAACTGTAACCATTTCCATTTGTATTTGTATTAATTGTAGCTACTAACAAATTACACAATCCAGGTAAATGGTAATCCCAAAATCCAGACCATCATGGAGGAAGCAATAATTCTGGAGAAGTTATTCCAGAAGCATAGGACAAAATGAAGGTAGCAGTAAAATACTTCAGCTATTCTGTTCTACTACATCTCAGTCTCACCACCGTGGACCATCCTCAAGCTCTCAAGAAAGACTCTAAGAGAAGACTCTGCAGGGTGTAACACAGAGTATTTTCTGTATGAAAAGAACACTGATGAGAAGTAGATGGTGGTCACATCTCTGTGTATCACATCATTAATGTCCATAATTTCCCTCGCGTTTGCACAGCCTTATTGTGAGTGGTCCTTTTTGATATCTTCCTCCTGCCTAACAGTTAATTCAGCTGTGCACTCCTCACTCTACTACTACTGCTAAGCAATCTCTAGAAAAACTCAGTTTTCTGGATGTTTGGGGATTCTTTCTGCCTCTGCTTCATCCTCAGCTACCTTAGCACCATCTGTGCTTAGCATAGTTTTCTATTTGGCATAACCAGCACTGTCATGGAAAAGAAAACCCCATCACTT